ATATTGCGCCGCGCGGCGTATACGGGCGCCCGCCACATCTCCCCGCGTTTCGCCAAGTAAATGCGTGCAGTGCGGTAGATACTGGATCGCACTTATCGAACAGCTTCATGGAGCAAATCCGGGCTTGGAAGCTGCGACGGAGTTTGTTCCTTGGGTGTGGAAAGCGCTTTTTGTGTTAACTAAGGACCTAGTTGGCATTCCGCGTGCGCGTATGCCGCGTTAGTTAGGCTCGAAGAAATGGCGTGATAACTAAGAGGCAAAATGTGCGACTAGATGGAGTTTTTCTTCTCTCGCGTGTACGTGAAAATCGGAAACGCCTGTGTCGCACCGCAAACGAATAGGGTCGCAATGAATTCAGCGTGTTAAGCGCAACTCACTGGGTGTAACCGTTGGGACTGATGTCAAGTCGTCTAGCTGTGTAGTTTTTCACTGAGGAACACTTTTCTAGCCTTCTGTGACCCAACAGTTAATGCGTGCACAGAGCCGTTATGCTCCGCTGCCGTGCTGCACGCAGCTTTATGGAATGCTGCACGGTTTTGTGGCACAGCTGCGCATCTCTCGAGCGTTCTACGAGGACGGTGTGCGGGCGCGCGCACGAGTGGCGGGGAGGCCACGCGTGGCCTTCGCGTTGTGATGTTTTTGCTCTTTCGGACGCAAAGGAGTGCGTACGCGCATGTGACGGCCGTGTTCGGTCAGAGTCCGTGTTGTTGGGGCATGTGACTGGCATTTTCCTTTATTCGCTCTTGAAAGCTACGAACGTCTCGGTGACTGTAGACAGCTGTGTAGACATATTCAGAGAAAAAGAAAACCTCCGCGTTATCTTTTGTTTTGCTTTGGAGGAAGAGCGCCGTTGCGTGAAACTCGTATCCTAATCAGCAATCGATCGTAGCCAAGCTGCGCGCATCGACAGATGGGGGCGTAATTGATGACCTTACTTTTAAGCGGGCTTCATAACACAATAGTCATTCACCATCGATCAACCTCAGCATTAACGTGTGCGTGAACGTGTCAGCCTGCTGTTGCTGCAGTTCAGTGTATCTCCTGTGAATCCCACGTCATTGGACTGCCTTTGGGAAAGTTACAATTGGACTAAATAGTCTTTTGGGCTGCTCCCACGTTTTAATTTACTTTAGTGACCTTATAGTGCGCTTTTAACTCTCATGCAACGGGTGTTGCTCTGCTTGTTTCGTTTTTTGGAAACCTGAACGTCCGAAAGCTTGAAAGAAATTGCGTCTACTTTAGACACCTCGGAAGTAACTAGCCTCGCCAGAAAGTAAGTAGCACCAACTATAATTCCCCAAGAAGTAAGATATCTCCGAAAAAATCATTTGTGCGCAGCTGCTGAGGGATCAGCGCTGATCACTCACGACGCGCTTCCACAGTGGGACAGAGAATGAGGTTTATTTTGTAGATCAAACGACACGAAATAGCGACGTTTCGAAACGTTCCTTCCACAGTGGGACAGAGAATGAGGTTTATTTAGTAGATCAAACGACACGAAATAGCGACGTTTCGAAACGTTCGTCGGTGCCGACGGCGTGCTTATGCGAGCCGCGCACCTACGCGAGTACACGGGCACACTCACACGCGCATCGCAAACCGCGCGCGCCGAGAGGCGGCGAAACGGGAGCGCTCGCGGGATCACGTCATCGCGGGCGTCTTCTTGCCTTTCCATCTGGTCACGCGTCGTAGCGGCGCCAAGAAACAAAGCTGCCGAAACGGAAGAGCGAACAGGAAACGGGCTCCGTCGCTTCTTGCTACGGAAGTGCTCGCCCAGGAAAGAGGGCAGCAACATCGCCCGGGAGAGGAGGGTGCGGAAGAAGCGGAGAGGCGGCGAAACCGCAGAGAGGGAGGGACGGGACCGCAATCGAAACCGAGGGAGAGGATCGCGGAGCGAAAAGTTTGGCGAGTGTTTTTCGCGGGCTTTCGGGGCGTGTTCGAGCGAGCTCGCACTGCGCGCGGCCGGTCGACGGCGTCCGGAAAGCGCTGGGCGAACGCTAACGAACACAAATGAAGAATCAAGAATATCCTTTTTAATGTTGTTTTGCCTGAGGTTGCAAAAGTGCAGTGGTGATACAGCTTTTACGGCAGGCTCGAGGGAGCTAAAGAAAAAGGTACGCTCATTGTGGATTGGCGAGAGGTTGCGTGCCTTTGCAATCAGGAGGGGAGCATGAGAACTAAACCGCCAAAGTTTACAATATGTGACGCCGTATATCATCGCTGAACATTCTGAATCATGTCGCACGATTTGATGAGAACCCGAACAAAGCGTTTGATGCTCTCTGTCTCCATATGTTTGGGTGCACGTCGAAGAACCCCAGGTGGTCCAAATTTCTGGAGCCCTCCACTACGGCGTCCTGTCATAATCATATGGTGGTTTTGGACGTTAAAACTAACATATAAATCAATTTAAAGAAAAAAAAAGGGCCGTGCGTAGACACCTTCGCGGACGCCACTCTGACGCTCTCTGAGCCATCTCTCCAGACGTCCACATCATCGCATAATGTATAGACAAGCGTTTATATGCTTCTCAGGCGGTGGTCGTCTCGGTGTTCATTTGTTTACGCTCGCTCTGGGTGCGAATAACCTCGCTGTCCTTGGCGGCCCTACTAAGAGGGGGAGGAGATGGCGCGTGGCCTCAGCAATATAGCTTTGATTTCTTGCCGCGGTCCTCCGCAGCGCTCAGTGGGGGTCGCCCGAGCGTCCGCATCTCGCAGCAGGCGCGTTGGGGCGTTCCGGCAAACGCGGCGGCCGATCCTGATTTATCGGCCGCCGATTGAGCGCGCCGGCAGCACTGCGCAGGCCTCGCGAGTCCGATACCGCGCGGTCGAGCAATCGCGGCCGATTTGTGGCTCCGATCTCTGTAGCGTATCTGTAAAACATTTCAACTAAAGAGACGCTACTGATCGCAGCTGAAGCGCGCTAAACTGACTTTCTGGTCCGCGGCTTGACTTAATTACACGCAGGTTCCCGAGAAGTATACAGCGTTGCGTTCAGTGAGCGTGTGCCACACCTATTGTACACTCGTAAGCAGGCCTCCGTGGCCATTAATAAACCCGCGCGTGGAACACGGCCCGTGCCTTTAAACGGCCGCACTCTGCTAGAATTCAGTGGCGCTGCAGGAAGGCATGGACAGGCTTGACCCATACCACGCGCAGCAGGCCGTATACACGACGAGCTATGCGCGCAGGCGAAGCCCTTCATTACGCCTCCTTGTCGGTGGCGGCGGCAGCTTCCCCCCTCGCTCTGAGCAACAACGCGCTCTCGCATGAACAGCGCGGCCGCATCTGGCTTCGTCCGCAGCGAGAAACAAACGGAACAGCAAGCTGCCAACGTCCGGTGGAGCTCGCGGTGCAAGTGCCGAGCAGCGGGAGGCCCCGTGACGGCCACGTGCGCTCGGTCCCGCTGTTCTCTCGGCAGCGCTGGCCGATGCATCGAGCGAGGGGGTGGCCGGACGAGCGGCCGCGGGAGGTGGCGCGGCGACGGGCCAGACCAGATACGGCGGTCCCTGATGGATGGTCCGTTTCACGCCCGGCCGCCACCGCCGCGCAACACGCAATTTGCCCTACCGTGACCGCCTGCAGGTTTTCTTTTTTTTGGTACTTTTTTTTTTTACCGCTTCAGCTGCCTGCCTCTCCCGCGACAGAGTCCCGTCTCATCTCGCCCTTGCTTCGGTGGTCTGACTTAGGTCCCGGAGGAAACTTCGGCCTTAGCAGGCGGCGAACGGTTTGCTGTCGGCATCGCTGTTTATGAAGTAGCGATTGCGGCGTGCAATGTAAGGAGAGTCTCTCAGGCCCGGTGATCTCGACGAGACGGCTTTGCCGTTGATTCACTTGCCAATTACTTAAGGGATACGTCTACTTCCAGTAGCTAATCTGGGCCAAACTCTCAATGAAGTGGTGTCGACTGGATGAACGCATTTAAAAGTACATTTTTGGACGGATATACATATTAGCCTGCTTACAATGAGGGAAAATAAGAGGCAACAGATAGATGAGGGTTGAACACTCATCTTGGCTGCAATAATGTTAGATGGCGCAATCCAGCTTTCATTACATGCCCTTCTTTGACTCGTATAAATCAAAAGAGGCAATGGAGCCTGTGCCCGTGTTTCTGTTGCCGTCGCTCTTCCGAACTGCACGTGTGAATCTCGGCGAGACGCACACCGCCGCGTATTCACATGCAGAGGGCGTCTCGCCTGCTGACCTGGCTCGTAGCGGCTATGATATAGACGCTCTATAGGCAAACCAACCCAGTCACTTCCCGCGCGCCGCAGCGGATAGCAGCGCGCGTTAATTAAGCGAGGTGTGCGGCGACTAATGAGGCCTTCTAAGCGGTGCCGACAGGATGCGGCACGACTTCGCCCCTGCTGTTGTCTTTATTTATTGTTTTTGTCCACGCATAGCATTCTGTCGTGCGATCGATCGTGGTGAACATATTTCTTGACACTTGCGAATAGCGCTGACGTGGTCTGGCACTCCGTTGGGCAAGTGGGTTTGAAATATTGCGTTTGCTTTCGGCAAGCCGCAATCTCAGTTCGTTGTTTTTTTCCTGTGGAGAATCTCAACGTAAAACTCTTGGTTTCATAATTGCCGTTTGAATCTGTCTTTTGTATACATTATAAAATAAACAGTGGCTTTGTGGACAACTCGATCGACGAAATGGCAGGAGGCTAAGGCAGAAGCACAGAAGTCTTATATAACGCCTGCGTCGTTTCGTTTTTGTTGGTTTGCACAATAACGTGTAGAGTAAGCAGGTTTACCTAATCTGCATACGCGCTCGTTGCTATTTGTAGGAGTGATTGCTAGAACGTGTGTAGCCATAATTTCCGGTGCTTGCCTGTAAACGCCGTAACAAGTGTTATGTGTTGGCAGGTGCAAAGAGTGGTCCATTTTGGAAAGGGAGGCACTGAAAGATCTTCTGTGCTCGCTGAATGTTCTGCTATTATTTCCACTGAAGAATCGATGGCTTATTGCGTTTTTTTTTTCTTTTTTCCTCAGGCAACAACGGTGAGGATCCAGAAGGAAAACGGCGGTGAGTGTCTTCGATTTTTATGATTGCTTTTTTGTTTTAATACTGTTCAGTCTGTGTGTGGTGACCGTCTCTCCCGCCCTTCTTTGAGTGCTCGTTCAGCCGTTGCTGTGCTACGACTCGATTCGAGCGGATTAATTGAACGGATTATCCGGAAAATGGGCAGCGGCAAATGTTAAGTAGAGGGAGCCCCATTCTCGCGCGCTTAACTGTGTCGGGCGCGTGCTGTTATTTACGCAGAGCATAAGAGGGAGAGGAAACAGGAAAATAAAGCTTCATTGTTTCGTTATAGTGTAGTGACGGTGTGGCTATACTAAATGACCTGCTTAAGTTCACGAATTTGTGCAGTTTAGGGTCGCCCGATGGGGCTCGTGTGAATGAACCCTGGACACGTGAAATGTACTCTTCAGCGCACCACCATAAGGTCGCCTAGTTTTTTCCGCGACGTCTGTAGCCCGTCTCCCCTTCCCTTCTCCACAACCCTTTCCTCTCTGTAGGCGCCACGATGCCGTGGTCTCCATATGCCACTCCCTTCCCTCCAAACCAGACTCATTATTTACTATTGCGAAGACAGAACGTGGAGGACGCGGCGTGTGCCGAGCCCCATTGTCGCACCCTTGCCAGCGCCGAGCCTTTCTCTCTCCGAGCTGGTGACTCGTTAGATCCAGACTTCACACGCATGGCTGCTCGAGCCTTTGACGTCGACCCCAACACAAGGCATTAAACGGCAAGACCTATGGCGGAGTGGTGGTGCTGCCTCCGTTCCGAAAGCGTGCGCGTCACACTTGTGCCTCAGCGTTTGGCGATTTACATTGGAACCGTCCTCTGGGCCACTGCGCTATGTCAGAAAACTGCGTCTTTTGTGCTTATATTCTTTTCTTTCTTGCTATCTGAATTTGGTTGTGCGTTATGTTTTTTCGGTTGCTGTAACAAGAGTTTTAACATAGTGGTGCAGTGGACCTTGTTGAAGCTGCTCCGTTTACAGCACCAGGTGAGCGAGGGTTGCTCACGCACCCCTAATACTTCCCAGCCATACCGCCTTCCCATGTCGCGTGGTAACCCCGCCGCGCGATGTTTATCCCGTCACAGCGCGGAGAGCGGCAGTAAGATAAAGAACGGGACCTGGAGGGGGGACCTCGCGAGAAATATAAAAACGCAGAAATCGCTCCCCGCTTGGTCGAATGGAGTCTTGTCCGCGCGCAGAGGGCTTCGCAGTTCGGCTGCCCGAGACGTGGCCGGGCCAATTAAGGATGCCGGTGGCGGCGAGCGTCGTATCTGGTATTCCCAGGATCCCCGCAGCGGCCGGCTGGCTCGCTCACGAGCGCGCCCGCGCGCTACTCATTTGGTGCCGGCCTCCCCCCCTCCGCCGCCCTGCAGCGATGCCTGAGTCACCGCGCCTGCGTTCCCTTCCGCCGCCGCATCCCACGGGTGATGAACGGCCCCGGCGGCCCCGCGCGACGAAATATAATTAGGGGACAGCGAGCGCCCGCCGAGAGATTGCTCCTCTCGGAGAAGAGGTCCCCCCCGTTGGCGGCTTCTCTCGCCGAAGGACGAGGCCTCATTAAATGCTCTGCGACGGCCTGTCTTGGCGGCGGGCATCTCGCGGTGCTCCGACGAGGGACGGTCGGCGGCGCGTTTTTACGGCCGGGGTGCCCTTTTCTTTCGCTCAGGGTGGGCATTAGTCGAATTGCAGGCGCTCACCTCCTCGGGCTTCAGAAAGGCGGAGGGTCGCAGCTGCGTGCGGCAGGACAGAACGTATCTGCCACGGTGCCGGCACCAATGAGGGGGAGGTGTATATACCTGGGTGCCCGCAGCCTCCGCGAATCTTGCGTGAACGCAGCTCTCTGATCCTTCTCACTGTGACGAGGAAAACGCAAAAGAATAAAGAAAAAACGGAGGCCGAAAATTGCCCAGCTCCCGCCCCCAACGCCGCGTGTGTTTACGGTGGCGCTCGATCGTCTTCGGGTGGTGCTGCGGGAGCTTCACTGCAGGACGCCTGATGTGCTTGCTTGCTCGCTGCCGCTTAATGACCTTGTGTGGCGTGGACGTGCGCCTTGTGTGCTTTAGATCTCGCCCCTTGATGCCTGCTGTGCAGCTTTCCTTTCCCGACGTCCTGCTCTGGAATCTGGTTGTTAGATAAGTCGACACGGGCGTCGTTAAATTTTATTCCCTGCAGAGCATCGTGCGCGTACCCGATGCTGCAACGTTGATTCGCACCCAATAATTGCTGGACTGCCCCATCCAGCTATATTATCTGGGACGTGCGCTCGACGGTGCTGCAACTTCGTTTATCGCGTAAAAGGCATGCATACAACACATCGTCAGCAGCTCACTGTCGCTCAGTTACGTGCAGGCGAGACAGTCGCCCATTCTTTCCTCCTTTCGGAAGCCACGTGTGTGCACGTTTCCGTGTAAGAACGGCTGCGTGGGGTACCCTGTTCGCTGGACGGCAAGAGTGCCGCGGGGGACACGAGGCCGCCACTGATTTTTTTCGTTGTGTCTTTCTCCTTCTCCAAATACGCTCGCGCGTAGTCGCCTGCGTCTCTCGCACCGACGGCACAGAGCCAGGAAATGATCGCGTTGGCTGGCTGGCTGGCTCGGCTTCAAAGAATCGCAGCAGCAGCAGCGCGGCGGATGCGACGCTTCGTTGGTTTTGGGCTCGGCGCGCCGGTGGACGACGCATCGCGCTAGAGGCGAGGCGGCGGCTCCGGGTGCGTGGAGTAAGGGGGGACGTGGGGAGAGAAATGCGAGGTCGCTTTTTGTCGGCGGCTGCTGCGTTGCGTGCGTGTGCGGTCGCGCATGTTTTCTCTGAACCCGCGGCCCTCTGGGCCTGCGCGCGACAACGCACGTTTTCTTTATTTCTTGATCGAAGCGCTTTCGGCAACGCTCGCTTGTTTGTGGTGTCTGCTGGAGTGCAGGAGGCGATAGTCGGTCGGATGGCAACCGGGCGGGGAAGGGTCGCTAGATAAGGGTCCTGCGGGAGCGGGGGTATGCTCTTGCGAATGAGACAAAAAACAAAAAAAGGTAAAGAAGAAAGTGCCTTATCAGTGCTGCTAACCGCCCCGGTTGCTCGTTGCATCATTTGTTTTGTGTTTGTGCTCCCCTGCGGCCATGCGGCGTCTTCGGGGGCTTCGCGCGCAAACAACCCTCTTTGTGGTGTTTTGGGTCGCTCGGTAGCGGCGGTGGTTCGTGCGTCACCCCTGACGTCGTGAGCTGAGTGTGACTGCGTGCCATCAACGTTCGGGGGGCGCCGCGTCGTTGCGTCGAAGGAACGCGGTTACAGCGCTTTAGCGCAGGGCCGCCCGATCGAGTGTTTCTCGCGTCTGCAGCAGAGCAGTGACCCGTTTTTCAGAGCCAGACGTTGCTCCAGAATTTCGCAGTTGTATTCAGGGCACTATTTGAAAACGCGTTCAATGCTGCGGCTGCATTTGCATCACTTTGTCAGTACGTTCGTTCAAGCGACTCTTCTCGGATTTGGCATCTTCATAATAAGAGAGGTCTTCTGACCAAGCGAGATATATGCCACCTTCCCCGTCACTAGCGTCTTTTCTGTGTAATAAAGCAAAATACGGAAATACAAAACATGAATTTGTAGGAAGAGCTGCAGTCAACCAGTTTGTTTTTGTCGCTGCGCGATGCACGGGTTGTCTTTCGGAACCATTGGGGTGATGGTGTCGCCAATACGAGTGGTCGGTTGCGTCTTGTCGTGTGTGCTGAGTGACTTGTGTACTATAGCATTTCTTCTTGTCTCTTTAACAGGCGTTCGGTACTCGATACACCCCAAGAAGCGCAAGCTCGACTCGGACGAGCAGTCACCTCCGGCTACTCCGTCATCGGCGCCCGCCGTTTCCTCGGCGCCCTCCGAAGAGAACGCCCTGTCGCCCCGTGGTCGGCGTGCCTCGCGCAGCCCCGAACGCGTCGAGTCGTCGCGACGCCGACCCCAGAGTCACTCGGCCGACTCCGTGCTCTCCTCGCTGAGGCCCGAGCTGCGCCAACGCAGGATGCAGTACCACGCGGTGCGCAGGCGCAAGCTGCGCTCAGGACTCGACATGATCAGGCGCCGCAAGAGGCCGGCGAGCACCAACGCTGCCAAGCTGGCCGGAAGGAACGACCGCAAGGTATTTACAGCCTCCTCACGTTGTCTTATCACAGTTTGGGTCAGGATTGAACAGTACGTCGATGTTTTTTTCGTAAGATAGCTAAGATAGCGTTGGATAGCTTGGGTGGCAATAGGTTTTTTTGTCGTTGAGGAACACCGAGCTTCGGAAAACATTGAACATTGTTGTCTCGCGGGAAAGCGACTAGAAAAATAATGTTTAAAGGAAAATCTTAATCCGCACGAGCCAGTAAAAAAGAGGGACTACGTTAAGTTAGTCCTAAGAATGAATATTTAATTAACCCAAAAGACATAACCGTCAATACTACTTACAAAGCTTATTTTGATATGCGAGTGACCGTTTTGTGGTTGGGCATATTTTTGATAATCGGAGTGGAGTGTAAAATGCTTGGTTGAAACATGTAATTGCGCGAGTGGCGTTAGGATCGGATTGTAAACGCCAGAAGAATATTCGCGAACGCTGCAGAATGTGAACACTTCTACAGTTTCTCGAAGTCGTGTTAACACTTCTCCGGTTACTCAGTGTCGCAATTTTGCCTCGCGATGCTTTGTTCACGGGATTCTTACAACTCGCTCTTCCGTCTTTGCGCAGCCCTTCGGCGAGTTGAACTACAGCGCGCCTCCTGACCTGAGCAAGATCCCTCTGAACAAGTCCACGGGGGAGACGGTCCTCCACCGCGCAGCCCGCCTTGGTCACGTGGTGAGTGTCTATGGCTTTGAACGCTATCTCTCTTCACTGTAGTTTATCTTTATCCAGTCATATCCAGTCACGCGCCCCTGCTGGTGTGCTGTGCCGCAAAGCATGGTTGCATTGGGGGTAGCTTTTTTTTCTTTCTGGATGTAGGAGCACACATAAATTTTAAGAATGTCTGCACTAAGCAAAACGATACCAGCTTCATTTCGACCATTTAACATCGTGACGTGCAATGTTCAAACTAGAGTAGGGAAGAATGAAAGCATCTTCACCTTCATAGAGCTAAAGGTTCTCGATAGAAATATCTCGTTTAACCGCTCCGGCCTCTATGCATGGGCCGTGTACATCGTGTTTGACGACATATTTCTGCACAAATAAGCAAGATTCAGGAAGGGGCATGTTTCTCATCTCTAAAGCTTTTGTTACGGCGAGTTTCTATCAGTTGTCATCCCATAAACTGTTGTAGGATAACTTAACATTTTTTTTTTTTGCTCTACAGTAACCAGTGTCTAGCTTCGGCATTTCCCAATTCGGTACAGGAGACAAACAATGATACAATAGCGTACAAAAAAAAAGTACAATGAGGGGACTCGTGCGCACAGCGTTGCAGGAATCGGTCAGCTGGCTGGCACACTCGAAATGAAGAAAAACACATGCGCCTACGGGCTCACGTACGAAGCGGGCGCACCAAAACTCGCCGTGTCCTCCGGTTGCCAAGAGACGCGGCGCCGTCCTGTGAGGAAACCGTGCCGTCGAGGACTGCTTGTTTTAAGTGCTTGCTTGGCCGACGCCCTCCCTCCCTACCCCGCTCTTCGCGAGCGTCGTTGCCGACTGCAGCAGCAGCGGGCCAGCCAAGCTTCCAGGTCGCGCTTCGACGCACGGTCGCCTCTGCCGCCGAAAATAGCTGGCGCGCCCGCCCTCCCCGGACGCGCCCTGTGGGGGCCAAAGATCGAAGCCGCCGCTCTGGCCTACAGAGATTTCGGCCTCGTTTCCCGTCGGTACGCGGGGACGCTTCTCGCATGCACGTCGGCCGCCTGGAGCACATTCTTTGTGAATATCGCGGCGATAGAGGCAGTCTAAGGGGGGAAAAAACGCTTCCGTCTCGTCGGACGTTTCCTCTGCCGCGCTATCGCGTGGCCTCATTGATGCGTGTTGACTTCCTTAGAATCAGATACAATGCGCGCCCGTTGCTTCCCGAACCGCACTACATGACCCGCTGATGTGATCGACGAAGCAGTGGTACACCCTAAGGTTGCACATTAATGCCCTTGTTTCCTGCGATTAATTAGAGCATCACCTTCGCGAAACGCTTTATTCCTTTTAATTGGGGGATGGGTGTGAACATAGTCCGTGTGCATATCATTTAACTCTGTTACAGATGATTACATAAACTAATGCGCATAAACGCCGCCGCGGCACTAGAGGCCCGTGTGGCGTGTGATGTCAGTGCGCGCTAAAGCTCGGGAGATCGAAGTTGTTTGAAAAACTTCCACTATGGCGTTTTTAGCTGTCTCCTTGGGTCGTTAAAACACAAAGTGATCGTCTATTCCGCATCTTCGGGTAACGCGCTGTGGAGCGTTGGACAATAGGCTACGGGCTTCCTTTCTTTACGCAAATATGCCTCTTCCGGCGACACAACCAGTGTTGCCGGATCGCTTTTATGTCGGTGGTGGTAGTGGTTAGAAGATGAGAAAAGGCGCCTAATTTCTGCAACCCGGTCGGGAGCACGACGCAGTGCCTAACTTCTGTGTCGAAGCCGACGCGCTTCACTCGTTGCTCTCTGAAATCGCGTTGTGTTCTGTCTATTCGTGGCAGGCGTGGCATCTGTGAAACAGTGGCTCGCTTTCCTCAGGCCATCGCAACGAACTTGCAGGCGAAGCGCGGCCTTTTGTGGCCTGGCCGTTCTTAGATCGCGATCGTAGGTTTTCTTTCGCTTTTCTTTAGCGAGTGGGCGCTTTCCTTATTTTCCGTGTCCCCGCCCTGCTCAGCCGCACCGTTCGATTGCTTCATGGGCGGCGCGACGTGTGCAAGGGCACGGTGGCCTCGATCGGGTGCTGCAGCCCCGGAGCGCAGATCGAGGAATGCTGGCGCACGAGTGAGAAACGCGCCCCGCGATCGGAGGCTCGCAAAGGCCGACGGCGAGCGAGTAACAAAAGCTGTATCAGCGGGAGGCGCTCTATACACGCGCGCACACAACATGGGCGTCAGCGGGAAGGAATGTCTGGCCCTACACGTCTCGGCTGAGAGGCCGGCCAAACGACGTCGCTGCCGCCTTCTTCGGTGCGGGGACGGTGGTTTTTACGGCTTGCTTTTAAGGCGTTCCGAGATCGTTCTTAGATCTGCGGACGTTTTTTTCTTTCTTTGTCAAGCTTTGCTTTCACTGGATCGAAACAGAGCGCGGTTTTGCTATCACGCTCCCTATTAGCGCTGCGACGGGGGCGGCGAGTTGGCAACGCTTTGTAATACATTATATAGCGACGACAAGGGCGCCTCAGTCGGCAATTATAAGCGCCACTGTTGCAGTAAACGCGTTACAGTATCTTTCGTGTTATTTCTTCTTGTGTCTTTGCTTCTTTAACAAAATAAGTTCCGTAGTCCGCTTCAGTCCGTGTCAGTGCTTGGTACGATGCTTGTTTCGGCTCGGGGAAATGTCCGAGATGGGAGTTTGTGGCAACGCCTTTGATAAGTCATCTTAGCAAGCTACGGAAGCACGTTGTGGAAATGCGGCGACACTGAACCGGCGGACGAATGCGCGGACATTGCCAGTACGCGCACACGCTTATAAGAAAAAGGACCATGCCATATATTCGCCGTATAGCTTGTTCCAAGAACCATAGCTCTGGGTGGCGCGTCTTCCTTCCGTTGTGCATTGTGCCAGTACTTGGGACTGGCACAAAGCAGGAAAGTGAGGAAGAGGACGGTACGGTAGGGAAACTTCTGCCGACCAACCTCTTGCTAGAGTTTTTTTTTTTCCTCTCCTCACAATGGATGTTTGGGAAAGGGACCCGTCGCCGTGCACTTTACCAGGAGGCGCTGACTTAAACACCAGGGGTGGGTCAGCTGCATATCCCTCCCTGGCTCGACCCGTCCCGTTGCACGCGACGGGCTGACAAGCACTCGCAAAGTGCTCTTCTTCAGTACACAGGTGATGTGAAAAATGCGTGCACTATTCCGATGAGTCGCTTTGGCCGATCTGTGAAGAAAAAGTCTACCCAAGTCAGGTCCTGTACCTTCGGTAGCAGCTGCGCGGTCTCTGCAGAGACGAAGAATGGGTCAAAGTGGGGGTAACTGATGGATTTTGTTGGATTTGGGGGCCTCTGAAGAAAGAGAGCATACGGAAAGCGACTGCACTTAGGGTGGTGGTCATCCCGCCGGGACCGACATCCGCCTGAGACGAATAGACAGGGGGTTTTGTAGCCCCCTCGGGGTGCGCGGTTGGTCAGCGGGGCCAGCGGACAGCGTGGGGTGAACCGCTACAGGGTGAGCACGCTCAGTAAAGCGAAACCGGTCTGCCCTGCCGCCGCTAATTGGAGGAAATTGCCGCACGGTGCCTCGCCTTTGCAAGGGGCCGACCCGTGGCTCGTGATGCGCGCGCGTCCGAAACGGCCCCGCACGCTTCTTCTTGTCCCCTCGCTCGTTGTCCATCGTGGCTCTTGAAGCTTCGGTAGAAAATAGAAATAAATGAAACGAAGGCAGGTTAGCTGGGCGCCCTAATAAGCAGAGCGGCTCGGGTGTCGCGTTCTGCAACCGGACACGGCTGCGAGCGAGCCCGAATAAATTGCGAAGCGCGGTCGTCGTTAGGCGGCCTTGCCGATCGTCCCCCGCGTAGTCTGCGAGAAGGCCAATTAGCGCTGCTCGCGTTCCGCGATGTTGCAGCGTTGCGTTATTTATTGCGCGTTGCCCGCCTTCTATGCGTGACATTTTTATAACGGTGAAGCGACTCTATCGTACTGACGTCGCTGTTGGTTGGTCACTCCGTATCGTATTTATCGCGATGACAAGTGACCGCCTCTAGACGGTTTCCCATGCACAAAAGTGGTCAATATTCCAGAGCCTCCGGATACGCCACTGCCACTATCGCTTAGATTGAGACGAGCACCAACTTATGCGCGATACGATTGAAGCGCTTACTCTTTAAATTCCCATTTTCGCTTTGGACTTGTTTTGACTGTCGCAGACCGTACTTCAGCGTAATGTACCAAAATGGTAAAAAAAAGAAAATAAATGGTGGTTAGGACGGGTTCTGGCGCCCTCTGAACGAAGGATAGTGTGGTCTTTTTTTCTCATCTTGCACCGGAAACTACAGAACATTTAAGAAGCGCGTTGTTACAATTAATAATCTTTCTACGACCGCAGATTCCGTGTCCTCGCAATTTATCGTCATACTCGCTATCGCTTCTTCCATCTATCAAAGCGTCGCAGTAGTTTTCAATACGCTGAAAGCGCCGTGAGTCCGCCGAGTAACGAGCGATCTCCGGTATATGATAATCCGCGCAGAGTGCTAGGCATACTCGGAGGTGCTAAAAGGGAACGCGGTGAATATGAGACTGCGCCGTGATACGGGAAGTGGCTGATGAAACGGAGCGCAGTGGCCGTGCCGTTTTTGCCGCGAGTGCGCAGCGGGGTTGACTCAGTCCCCTCGGGCTCGCATTTTCCAATGAACGCGTACCGTGCCACGTACTATGCATCGCCGTTCATAAAAAAAAAAAAAGGAGGGGGGGGGGGGGTCGTGTTTCTCCCGTCCGGGACAACCGACCCGCTCTCGCTCTGTTCGTAACCCAGGTGACGTGGCTGGACTGCCCTCTGTGCTGCTTCCCGCTTGTCTAGTCACGCACATAATAGCGCTTATACAATGGCGGGGCCAGCGAGCCCTCGGGGAGTCTCGAACAGCGGCAGTGATCTTTGGGGAAAAGAAAATAGCGGCTGATGCCACAACGGCGGACCCGCGGCCATCTGCCGTCGAGGTGCGCAACCTCGCTTCGCTAGCGAACAACGTCGCCCAACCGCGGGGCGTGTTAGGGGCCGACGAGCGAGAGCCGCGGTTTAAGCTGGGCGATGCATCGTCAACCTTGTTGACTCCTGTACCGAACCCCCGTGGAACTGTAGCTGATCGAGAGCGGGGAAGTCGCCGCGTGGGGTCTGGCGTTTAGTCTGTGTAAGCAATTCAGCGTCTTGAAACTTGTGACTGTGGTGGAGTGCTCATTCCAGTAAATGACTACAAGTAATATCGGTCAAGTCTCAAGGAATCGCATTCGCGGTATTTCTCTGGAGCTATTTCATTCATGGAATATCTTTAGCGTATCACATCCTGAAGTGTACATTGATTCATAGCGCAGGATAGACTCCACTTCCCCGTGCGAATAACTTACTCGAGGTATACGTTGAGCCTGACTTTGCGTTCGCTCGACTCTATGACGAGACGGGACTGAGGTTACCTGCATGCAGCTACTGTAATCAGCGACGGCTTGTGGCCGTAAGACAAAACTTCTGTAAAGACTTAGTGCGGCGAGCTATAGCACTTCTCGCGGCAGCTCGCGATCAGTGACGGCCAGTCTTCGTCCAAGACGCGCTCGGTTCCTCGGAACCAGCTCGATAACCGCTCCTTGTTTCTCTGCAAAAAACGGCACCGCCCCCTTGTTGTCTGCCCCCCGTCCAGCCGCTCGACCGACCGACTTGGAGGTCGTTTCTCGCCTTGTCCAAGCACGCAGCGGGGTCTTGACTGCGGAGGACGAGGGTGCTCGCAGTCGGAAGTACAGCGTGCCGTACAAGAGCAGCGCCGCTCTCGGTGTGCCAGCGGCATCTATGCTAATAGGAGCTGTGATGTATGAGTCTCCTAGCGCCCCCTGGTGCAGTCCCTGCTCCACAATTTCTTGGCGGAGAAGCGGACGACTTCGGCGGGGCAGCATGCCGCGTCAGCAGCGCGCCAACCACGACGACGCGCGCCATAGGTGGCTGCCACGTCCCGCCTCAAAACTGTGCAGCATTGCCGAAGTTCCAGAGATTTATCAAAGTTTTGAGGCTCAATCCGTCTCGGAAAGCGTATTATCAGTGGCATAGTTTAGGGCCCGATGATGACGTAATCAGATTTACCTGCGTTCCTACGACGACGGTAGATAACTCTCTTCCGTTCGCCTTCTAAAGTATCGGGTCTCGATCGAAGCCTTCGGCAGACAGCTGCATGCATCTAGTGAGCGCGCACGCATGGACCTACGCGAAAAGAGCCTTCCTCTCATGGTACTGCATGCGCACGGCGGCCACTCGTGCATATATTCAGCCAGCGGGCGTGCATCCAATCGACAGGTGCGCGCCGCGTGAACACTTCTTTTTTGTGCTTCTCTTTTTTTTCTCCAGGGCGTACGACGAGCGCGGCCGCTGTATTATTCAGCTGTCCGCCTCCCGTCGCATCTCGGCCGCCTGAGCGACGGCTCGGTCGTCGCGCGTGCAGCCAGCCCGCTTATTCAAGTGCGGCGAGAACGGCGCGCCGCAGCTATTTTCTGCGCGCGCCAGCGAGGCCGTTTGCGTCTTTCTTTTCTTCTGACACCGCGCCGTGAGCAGAACGAACGAGTTGGGAGCTCGCCGCAACCGCTGATGGCGAGCCGCTGTGCGTGTGTTTCGTATATGAAGCCGGCTTCGCTCGGCGCGCGCACCGCTGGAGAGACAGCCGTGATTGCGGGCCGATCGAAGCAACCGCAGGCGGGGTGCCGTTATTTTACTGCACATTCTTTTTTAGTCCAGTTAGGGGAACAGGGACGGCGACTCCTCCGCCCGTGTCAAGACGGAAGCTATTTTGTTTTTGCGTTGAGGATCTTGTTCCCTTTCTGCGCGTGCCTATTACACCGGGGCTTATTTCAAACGTGTAGCTGTGTGACATCGCGGGAGTGAAAAAATAACGCGAGAATGAAATCACAAGCCAATCGAGGTGGCTGAGCAAGCACTGATCACAAGTGAGGTTGTGCGAATTACTTGTCCGAGGTTTTTCGCTTCATGCCTCGCTTCTCTGTCTGCAGCCTCGATATGCGCGCCAGTGACACTCGCGCGGCTTGTGACAGCACGTCCTTTCATGCGAAGCCGCATATTTGATCACTTTCTGCCTTAGGTTGTGCAAATCTGTGGCTGCCAGTCGCGTTATCTTTCCAGAATGTGACCAGTACTACGGACAGGTTGCAAAAAAAAAAAAAATGTTAGCGAAGTACTTTTGGACCGAAGAACGTAATCAGCAGCTTCTGCTACGTCGACCTCTCGCTGCCCGCTCTTTCACCAACCCGCGTCGCCCACTCTCGGCCGCGGCTCGTTTGACCGAGCGCCTTCGCTTGGCACGCCAACGCAATCGATGCTCAGACGTGCCGGGGGCTAGCCGAGCTTCGCCCTATGCGCGAAAGCACGCAACTCGCTTCGGTTAGGGGGGCCTGGCGCCGGTCTTGTATAGGCAGCGCGAACGTGTAGCAGCAGCTGGCGGTAGATGGGCCGTGCGTGTCTTCTTCCAGGAAGCTTTCTCCGCCGCTCTCCCGAGGCCAACCGAGCGGCGGGGAGCCCTCCCGCTTCAATCTCTCGTCGTCGGGGCGTTGAAGAAAAAAAAAAAAGTACTGCCGAGAGACGCGCCCGAAATAAAGCCAACGCCACCCGGCCTCCGACGTTCGCGCAACGCCTTGCGAAAGAACCGCCACTCTCTGCTTGAGCCCGCTTGGATGGCCCCGCGACGGGACCGAAAGGAAAGACGAGCCGAGTCGGGTGAATAAAAAAAAAAAAAAGCGGAAAGCAGCTGCTGACGCTGAGCTGGGTCTTCGCGACGTCCTCGATGGCCACCTCCGCACGGACAGGCGTCGGCTCTCATCTCGAACCGTGAACGTAGCATGGCTGGACAAACTGCGCCGCTGCCTCCTGTGCGTGCTTCGTCGGCGCGCGACTGTTTACGGCAGCGGTGCGGAGGCCAGCGAAGGAGCGAGCCTTGACACGGAAACGCGAGCCTCTTTAGCTAAGGCTGCCGCAGTAGCCGCCGGCTTTCTGTGCACGCACTTTCTTGGAGGCCTTCCCCGAAACGGGAGGTGGATGGAAATGATAAAGTACTTGACGCTCTTTCGTCGCGTAAGGAAAAAGGCTCCATGCTGCTGATTTTGCTGCAGCGGATCACTGTACGGCTTCGTATACGCACTCGGTAAGCGGCGCAGCCGGTGTGCTGTTGTAGTTGTACACGCGTGCGCGCGGTGGGGAGGCTAATGCTAGTGCATGAGAGAAAGTATTCGCTGTGCGCTGTCACGCGATCGATTCGTTAACACGTTTCTTTCTTTCTGAATTTTGCCCTCTGTCGTTGCCTTCTGTCATTCTCTGCCATTTGGGATGGGGAATAGCGCGCCTACTCTGCCGTCGCCCCTTTTGTCTGAGCTGTTTCATGAAGCATTTGTTTTGCCCCCCCCCCCCCCCCCACCAATGTCATGACCTTACCTGCTACCCTTGGCGAATTTCCGAATTAATGCTTGAACCTAAACGTCGGGCTTTGCGTTCAGATTCTCACAGCACTTTCGTATGCCGAGTCCGAAGCCCTCTAGGAAAACTATTTTCTTCTACGTCTACAATGCTTTGGTTCTTCTCCGGTAATGGTGCCGAAAGAGTACGCGTTCTATAAGTCACCTATCATTTCTGTGCTAACCTTATATAGAACAAGTGATAAAAAGAAGGAAAAAAAAAAGAACGGCTGGATCAGTCGAAACCTCCAGAAAACGTGCTTTCTCGCAGTGGTCGCTTATTTCGGCCCCTTTTTCGTATGCACGTGGCCGTCTGCCTTGCCGCGCGCATTCGGCCGTGACGGCGGCGAGGCTGCGTCGAGGAACACACACTTCAGTGCGTGCCGCCACCAAAATAGCGGGGCGTTTCACGCTGGCGTCGCATCTCGAAGCGGTCCCGAACTCGCTCACCTACCCCGGCCCTGCGATCGGTGCGTGCACCGCATCGGCGCTCACGCCGATCGCCAAAATCGCGCCGCGCGCACTGCGCTCACAGGGAAATGAGGTCGTTTGGAGGGGCCTCCGCTCGGTCGGCACCGAAATCGGCGGTTTTATTTCTTCTCTGTTGCAGCCTATTTCTGTCCTCTCTCGCGCTGGTTCCTCGCTGCGTCCGGCCGATAGCCGTGTCTGGATGCCGCCTGCGTGCCGCTGATTGCGGCGGCCGGTGCGGTTGATTGCCGCTGCTACCGGCGGCGCCGAGACCGCTGTGCCCTTGCCGGTCGTCGGGGCGAGGTTGCCGCTACTGCTCTGGCGGCTTCCTTCGCTGCCGGTTCCTGCACCGGTATCTTTTGTTGCTTCACCGAGGGGACCCCGATGCTCGTTTCCTCCCACCGCTCTGCTTCGTCGCCGCGGGGCCGTATTATGTTTTCGCTTTTGTAGAGATGGGCGATTGCCTGTTGGTCGGGCCATTGAGCCGACGTAGGCGGCAATCGCATCAGAGTATGTTATTGCAGCTCTGAAGAGATAACCCGATTCTGCATAAAGTAACACAGATCAGAGGTAATTGATCCTTCCCGAAGTGAAAGCACGCGATTCCCCTTTTTTTTTTACAATAAAAGGTGGCAAGCGCAATGCATTGTTTCCTCACTGTATAGTTTCCCCATAATAAACACGCTATCGCTAGACGCTGCACGAAACCTGCAAATTGTATTCCGAAGACCGATGGCTCCGAACCTCGTCCTTATTTTTTTTTATCTTTGCTGTGCTGGTTTTGCTTCCTGGGATTTTTTTCACGCGCACTCGAAATCTTCCCAGTACATTACAGCAGTTGCTGGGACCGCCAGATGACCGTATAGCTGACGAAGCTGTGCTTGGAGTGAAAAACCACCGCGCTCCCGTCACCTGCTAATTGTTGCTTTATTCGTGCGGTTTACCGACATGCCCCGGTGTTCACTCGGTTCTTGTGTTCACGCTTGGCGACGTCTCTGTTCACAGGACTTGGCCTGGTGTTGCCTCGAGTCCCGCGAGGGCGGCTCGGTCGAATCGTGCGACGTGAACGGACAGACCCCGCTGCACGAGGCGGCCTCTCGGGGACACCTGCGCGTCGGCCGAGCCCTGCTCCAGTGCGGAGCCGACCCCAACGCCTGCGCACACAACGGAAGGCGGTGAGTGGCGTTTTGCGTTGCTTTATTGATGGTCGTGTTCGCGGACAATCGTTTAAGCGTCGCCCGCCCAGCTTCGAGTGTTGTGACTTAGCAAGTCGGCTACATGAACGAGCGTATATATTCTACGCATAATGAATTGACCGCCATCTGCCTGAGATGGCCACCTTTCCAACTCTTTCTTGCACGCTCACACGAATACTCCGATTGGAAGATTTAACGAGTGTAGAGGAGTCTCAAAGCAATCCTGGTCGTCTTGGTAACTAGAACTACGTACTTGTCAGCTTGTTCGATTAGCTTGACTAATGAACAAAGGGAGTTGAGCTAGATTTGACTCATGGTGCCTCGATATGCAATATTGTCGCTTTCTCGTGATTTCGCCTACTCGGTTTCTCCTTTGTGGCACGTTGGCTTGCAAATTTGCTTGTACGTGTGGTGTCTTATCTGTGTTCTGTGAACAGATTTCTCAGCAAATCTAGCTGTTTCACACTTTGAAGTATGCCTGAGTGATGAAATAATAATGATTAAGACCCATTGGGTTCTGTGTTATCACCGCAGGAAAATGCACGTAGCCTGGTATCACAAACGGAGTAGAGGTTATCAAACACACGCGTTTCCCTTAGTGGCTGTCAGTTCTTCAATCGTGGGGAAAGCGCAAACTATTGTAAAGAATAAAACTTTGGAGCTCCACAGCAACGTTGCTCCAGGATGTCGCGCCCAAGCAGTCCGTCGACGGCGAACGCTTTAGCCAGCGAGTGCCGTTTTTCTTTGAAATTTTTTCTTTTTCACGCTTCCTCGGGTCAGTGTCGTTACCACGTCACGGCTTTTTCCCCCCTATTTTTCTTTCTGTGTGCGTTCGCGCGCCGGTTCTTCTTTCCTGTCGCAACCGGAGCTTCACCGGCCGGTCGGCACCTCCGTCGGCACGTGCGTTCCCCGTCTCTCGGTGGGGGAGGGGGGTGCAGCGCGGTTGCGTGTCGGGGGAAAGCGGCGCTGGCAGGAAGTTTGCCGACGCCGCTGCAGCCGGCGCGTAAACACCGACCTTCGCGCGGGGGCCAACCGTCCTCTTCCTCCTCCGCCGACGCACTATCGCCGCGCACCGACGAGTTGGCTCGGAGAGGCCCGCCGTAATCCCACGCGGGGAGGAAGCCGGTGTGCGCAGCCGCTGATGACGTCGGGGCTTATTCCTTTGCTTGACCGCCGAAGCGGGAAAAATATAAATATCCGGGCAGAACAAACAACGGTCTTTTAGCGGAAAGAACGACGAGGCACCCCATGTGTCAGCTTCCTCCCGCTTCTCTAGTCCTTTTGGATTGGAGGGGCACACTGCAGCTAATGGAAATCTATAAAGAAAGCCGGTAGTGGACCTTTCACCCTAATTGACAGCACCGTTGAACAGTTTAATGTCTCTTTCATTATTCGACGTATTTCAGTTCACTCTTCACCCTAAAGTAGTGTGCGTGTGGGCATGACGTCATGTTAACGCTGCGTTGTTCGTGAATACGTGCGTGCACGATCCGTGTACTTATGTGAAACAGCGCTAGTCTATAACACCAACTCTGACGTTTGATTGCAGCAGGGGTGTGGTAAGAACGCACTGCCTACGTACACGAACTATGTACTCGTCAGCTGGTTCGATTAGCTTGACTTACTGAGCAAAGAGAGTTGAGCTAGATTCGACTCATGGTGCCTCGATATGCAATATTGTCGCTTTCTTGTGATTTCGCCTACTCGGTTTCTCGTCTATTTCGTCTCTCGGTTTCTACTCGGTCTAGTCTGACTTGCCGTCTAGTCTAACCCGCCACCAGTGGCGTCAGTCCGGCGCTAGCAGTAATCCGGCCCAGATGGCCGTTTGGCTCGCAGCTCGAATGACCCTCAGTGCGGGGAAAGCTGTAAGAGGCGGCGGCAGATGCCCCGACGATAGGCAGCCCTCCCTCTCTGTCATGTCGGTCGACGCAGCCGGACGTGACTTTTATCGTGGCTGGCAGATAGGGCACTCTGCCCAGCGGCGAGGGGAGCGACTGAAATACGAGTTTCTCGAGCGGAGCCCGCCCGGCGTGTACAAACAACTGGCGCCCGGGGATAAAGAGTGCTCCCACTGCGAGCCGCCTGTGTTTGCTGTAGGCGCCCTGCTGCCTTCCCTCCATGCAATCGAGCAAGAGCCGCTGCTTAGGTCGTTGGCTAGAGCCAATCAGGGCGACAACGCTCGCGGAACCGCGATGCGAATGGGGAGGCTATCCGCTGCTTTCGTGCTGCACCTCCCAACCGACACGTATCCGTGCGAGTATTGCGCGGGAAGAAGCGAGACGCATGGCTAGAATCAAGCCTTGCGCCACGAGGCGTGTTGCGCCAAGCGAGGGCCCCGGTGGCGCGAACGCTCACGTCTCGCCGATAATTACGGCTGCCCTTCGCACGGAGCAAACAACGCGGAAAGCTGCGCGCGGTTGCTGCACGAATAGTTCCCCCACTGCCCCCTTTTCATCCCCCCTCAACAGCGCAACCGCTCCTTTCGCTAGCTCGGCTCCTGGCAACCGGGGCGGGCGGCGGGCAACGCCAAATGGCGCGTAGAACGCGACAGGTCGCGCCATCTGTTATTGATTTCACCAACCTATTTCACCTCCTCGGCTCTGAAAGTGCCGCGTTCCTCTCTCGCGCCCGTTTTTTTTTTCTTTGCCGCCTCCATTCTCTTCTCTCCCAGCTTTTTTTTTGTATATTTGGCAGTGTTCACGCAGTGGAGCCGTGGACCCTTCCGGCTCACAGCGGTGCATGTCCCCCCCCCCCCCTCGTTTTTCGAGCTAGCGTGGTGTGCGCGGCTGCGCCTGTACTTAGCAGCGCGGCCCGTCGGGGCTCCCTGTCTGTTCTCGAGTCTCCGGATCGCGCTAGGCTGTGAAGGGTGGCGGAGGGGGCTACGGTTGGAGAGGCAAGGCGTGTGCACCCGCTTTTATCTCCGCGCGACTCGGCCCAACGGGTACGCGCAGCCTCCGCTCCCTGACGCGCGCGATGGATCTTTTCTCCTCTCCACTTCACTGTTTTTTTTAATATTATTCTTTGCGTCTCCTCACTCTTCACGGGTGCTTCTCCTCGCTCAACCTCTGGTGCTTTTTCTTCGTGGGAATTCGCTGCTTCGTTCGTTCCGCGGGGCGCCCATCGCCTCCGTTCCATCTTTGCTTGGCCGCTGTGGCTTTTTTTTTTTTCTTCTTACGCTATGCGGCCGTTTGCGCTCCCTCCGGTCGTAAAAAACCGAGCTGGCCTCGCGTCGCGGTGGGAGCTGCTGCGTGATCGCTGGGGCCGCGGAGGCTTTTGCAGCCGCCGACGCGGCAGCGCGCACGTTGCGGCTGGCCTCTTCGGGCGCCCGTGATTCATCGGCCCACCCGGAGTCTCGTTTGTCGCTGCTTCGTGACCGATCGGTCGCCGCCGGCCTTTCCTCGTCGCCGCTCCCGAAATTGCTCTTCGCTGCGTTATATGAAAACCTCTCGGAAGTAATGAGTGCGGTCGCGCATTCTCTCGCCTTTCGACAACGCCGCGTGTCCTCTAAAGGAAAACGAAAAACCTTATTCAATAGTCACCTAATGTTATTTGTCAGTACCTCTTCACTACCGAATCTTTTGTACCTTCTCTCATGAATCTGCCACCGATTCCAGTGCGTCTGATATTATAATAAACTGACCTAGCTTGCTGAATGTTTCTGCAGCTGCCTCTAACGTCGTTGATGTTTGTACTTTTTAACTTCGAGAATGTAATGAGCAAGGAAAATGTTCGTGCTTAGGGGTCGCTCACGCTACTTCACTGATTCGCACCTTCAGTGAAGTCGTGGCACTACTACGCCGCCGCGGCTTTCCGCAACTCGCGGTCCGACTCATGCATGTAGACCCCTCCTGCGGCTGGGGACAATAGCCAGCCTGCTTGTCTTGTCCCTCTAGCGCGATGAATAATATCTCAGCGTGAGACATATCCTCCTGTTTACGTCCAAAGTGGCGGTGGGAAACAATGCCGCCGCCTCCTGGATGTACGGTGCGCCGCATACGAGCTAGAAAGTCGACAAAGTGGTAGACGAGACGTTCTTGGGCGTCCCGTCGTCGCCATCAGCCAAGCCCTTCTTCCTCTCGGTGAAGATTTCGTTCATTGTGCTTTGTGTTCCGCTTCCCTTTGTCTTCTGCTGTACTTATGGTATTTTTCCACAGAAACATGCTTGGTCACTGCCTTGTTGTTTCCTTTTGTTTGCCGAAACCAAAGTGGTCGCGCGTATTGTTGAGTCTCTTGGTCGCACTCGTTCGTTACTCGGAGGGTGGCAACGGCGTGTCGGGCGAGAGAAAAACAACCCTCAGTGCCTTTGTTATGCGTGAATTCAAGGGCTTAAACCTCCGCGGCTTCTATATTATCGATATATTTTCGTGGAGATGAAGTTTCAATACTCATTATTTCGTGCGGTTTTAGCAAGCTCAAGAGACTCCATGTCGCCACTGTACTTTGGAGCACAACACGTGGAGCTCCGTAGTTCTTTTCACTGTTTATTATGCCGGTGTCTACATGCCTAACATTTTCCTCTATTTAGAGCTTATCGTACGCGCACAATGAGATCAAGCTGTCGCTTAATTAGTGCGTTTCTGCAGATGGTGACTGCGACAAGCTGTTCACTAGCTGGAAGAGAAGGAAAAGAACTATGAAAGACAAAACGTCGTGCTTTTTTTTTTGTACGTGTGTACGTGGCATTGCGTTAACGAACGTCGCACCTGCGGGCTCACGCCGCAGCACTTTCTCTTTCCTTCGCTGTCTCTCTCTTCTCGTCCGTCTCGTGCGTTCGACACCTCACGCACGCCGTTTTCTGCGTACTTATTCGACTCATCCTCTCACAGGCAAGGCTTCGCTCGATCACTGTGCCATTTCCATTCCTTCCTCCCGTTCTCTTATTCTGCAAAGGGAAAAAGTGAATATAACAAAAACTCTGCCCCCCCCCCCCTTTCTTCCTCTGTGCGTGCGGGCACACGGCTGCCGTTTGCAGTTTTTTTTTTCACCGCCACAGTGCGACTGCGATGCGCGAGGAGAGAACACAATAGAGCGTCGCCGCAGAAACAAGAGAAAAACGGTGGCCCATTGTAGTATGGCGGCTCGGTCGTTGTCGAGGCTCCGCTGCGCCGATGCGGCGAGGCCTTCCCCCTCCTTTGTTTATTGTGCGCGCGTGGCACGGCCGTCCCTTGCTGCTGCGTTTTTTGCCGCTGGCCGGCGCGGGGCTATGTGGGCGTTGCGCGCGGCCCCTTCGCTCGATGATGAGCCCTCGCTGACGGCCGTCTTTTTTTGTTTGTGTGCGATTGCGCGGCAGTTGATGCGAAAGGACGGCGGAGAGAGAGTGGCGCAAGCGATCTCTTTGGCGTGGGTGTTAGGGCCCGTCTGACCGACCATTCTTTTGCCGCCTCTGCTTCTGTCGCTTCCAGCTGCATCGTCTTTTTTTTTCTTTTTACTTTCCCTGTCCGTTATTGCGACGTGTCCCTGCACGAAGCGAGGCGGCTTTCTTAAATACTAAAACGTGCTCGTCGCATTTTAAAGAACGGACCGTTTTTACTATACAAGAGTAATAAAAAGCCCGTTATTTTTACCAAAATATTAGCCCACATACCCGGTCTTAATCGCAGGCGCGCGCACTCTCTTTTAGTCTACGTTTGCGGGAGCACGAAAAAGATAAGATATGCGCCGGAAGCGTGCAACTAACTATGCCAGTGTACTGTGCTGCTTGTTGTCGATAACATGGACTAACCCGCCGCCGCAACACTTGGTTCGGTCGCGCAGGAAGAAGAGCGGTCTTGCGTTCTTCTTGTTCTACTGCGTAGCAGTAAATTACAGTCGCACCTTAAGAAAAGAAGTAACTGATCCTTCACTCTTTCGTCTTCTTTGTTGTGCATAGATTCCCACGTAAACCATGTTCTCCGCGAATATGTAAATACAGAGCGAGAAACCGCTTGGCTTTTGATATTTTGCGTTTTGTTCAACAATAGCTGAGGAGAGAGGCAAGCGTTGATTTCGTTCGAGTGAAATCTGACCTGATGCTACGTGTGTCGTCTTTGTATGGCTCTTTGGTCTCAACTCACGATAAATTATTTTTGTTTCTCCAGGCCCATACATGACGCCGTGGAGAAGGGCCACGTTGAAATGGTGCGGCTGCTGTTGTCTTATGGCGCTGACGCTACGCTCACTACGGGATCCGGTTTGTCTCCGCTCGAACTGGCCAGGTCACCCGTCATGGTCGAACTGCTCAGAGGTACGTTTTCGCAACGCATATTTGTTAGTCTTCGTTTTTTTAAAGGCTGTCTTATTAATAACCGTGACTATACGGTTAACTGACAGCATTTGAACTCTGTACCGGAAATAAGTGGACTTGTGTAACCCTGTTTCCTTTTTACCCCCAGGTTTCCTCTCTGACATGGCCGGCGAGAGTATCGACGGTAGTCCCGTGTTGCCGTGGCACTTTGCCGGCACGGCCTCTTTCATGGGTAAGTTTTTCGGGACAGTTTTTTTTTTTTAATCAGTGCCACGTTCCCTGTGTGAGCCGTGCGGTAGTTCGATGCAATTTACTTCGTGTGGTCGGTTTAAGATTTACGGTACATACTAGGTGGCGTTTCCCCGTTAGTATTTGGTTCCTAGCCTCACATCATTGGTGGTTCGCGTTGCTGGGTGCATGGCGAGACGGTATGATCTATGCAGATGAGCAAGTGGCCGGGCACTTTATAAACGAAGCAGTCAAAAGAGTTTCATAGCGTTATCGGGAACGGGGTTGGGGTGGGGTGGACTGAAGCGTAAAAAATTCATACAGCCAGGACATTCGTCGGAACTACGTTATTTGACTGTAATAATTTAGAAGTTTTTCCGCAATCAGACTTGCCGCAGTTGTACGTGTCTGACTGAAGCTTTCGTTGCCTTCGCAGACCCGAAAGACACCGGCTTCGACATCCTGGCCGGCGCGCCCGCCGAGGACTCGGGTGACGACATGCTCTTCCAAGTGAGCGAGTCGGCCCAGATCGCCACATACAGGCTCAGCCCGCACCTGGCCGGCACATCGGAACAAAGGTAAGCCCCGTAAAGCCGTACTTTTACTCAAGCTTCGTTTTGTCAGCGCCGAATCCTTGCAGCAGTATATCTGGCAAAATGCGCGGTTTCGTTGACGCTTTCAGGCATGTCTTAAACCGCCCCAGTCGCTCGCTGACACGATTGGTAGGTTTGCATCAGGCAGTGTAAATGCCTCGAGGAGGGCTAGAGCATACACATCGCGCATTTTCGGATGAGATGTACAATAGGCTTGTTGAGTAAACCGTTACCGTCGTCTGTTGTTGCGCTGTTTGTTACGCCCTCTATATACTCTTGCAACTTGAACAACCCTTGTGTCCGCCCCTGACATACGAGCGACAAAAAAAACAACAACAAAGAAATAGGCTAGACGTCGACGCGGTAGCTTCCCGCACCAGAGTAAGAACTTCGTACGTGCCGCGAAAAGTATGTATGCCGTCGTGCCCGTGCACTGGCGTCCGTCCAACCAGGCTCGTCTTCCTGGGCGTAATCGACGTCTTCCGTGGCGCGAGACCAACGCTTGCTAATGTTGCGCGATGCAGGCTGTGCACGAACGCGCTACATCGGGGCTGTCGTCATGCTTGCTTAGGAGCCACGGAACAAAAAAGAAAAAAAAAAGGAAGTAGGTCCCTTTTCCGAACCTAGCGATGGGGCGAAGATTACTTTTGGCTGCTGCGTGGCGGTCGTCTGTACAACATTGCCGCGAGTGACGCTGAGGGTGGCAAGCTGTGGGCACCACGCTTGTGCGAATTGGGAAAGGAGGGGAGAGCGCGAAGAGTCGACGGCGCCGCAACTTTTTTCTTTGCCGCCGCACCACCCTAATGACAGAATAATGACAGCCTTCGGCGTCTGCCGCCACCGCCTTGCTGTGGGCGCAATCCGCACGAAGCGCTCGCTCACCGGAAGCTCTGTGTTTGGAGCGAGTTGAGATAAGCCTTCTACACTGGTGCGACCCCCCTTCTTACCCCTTATAGCTGTAGTCTCTGAGCTCAGTGCAGCGTTACTGGTGGCAAAACTAGGTTTTTCTTTCCCAAACAAAGCGTGCTCTGTTACAAACCGTGTCGACTTCTCTTGCCTTTCTCCCTCTTTGTGACGATCATAGTTTTGGGCATCACGTTTAGCGTTATGTTCGGGTGCAAGATGGGATTCGGGACTTGTGTTTATTGTTGCACTTTTTTTTCACCCCTTTCGCAGCTGCAGCGAGTGCGTCCGACTGGACGACGTCCTTCAGCGCCTGCGCATCTCGGCCGATGAGTTCCGGCAGCGGTTCCCGGCCGTCGAGATTCTCGCACTGGCCCCGCACGAACTGCGCGCCAAGACCACCACGCCGTGGCTGGACGCCGAGACGGCCCCGGAGTCGGGGGGCACACCGAATGCCTCGTCCCCTCCTTCGCCAGCAGCGGCTCCCGTGCAAGCGCTACGGTTCGACGCCACAGTGCGCAGCATCCTCGGTCTCCACAACCCGATCCCGCGATGAACGCAACGACGGTGTAACTCGACGCCTCCCCGTTCGCCACGTAGTCACCGCCACCAGAGTGTCGTCATCGCAGCCCTGTAGGACCACCCTCCCGTCCACAGCTCGCCCGAGCGCACGGTGGGTACGCCGGACCACTGAAGTCTCCCGGAGGCCTCCGTCTGAGACAAACGCATCCCCGCACCGACTGGCGCTGGCGCCAGGGAAGAGACACACACGCCGACACGCTCGCCACCAATGTGCGCGCGGCTCGCGAAGCACGCTGTGCAGGCCCTGAACGAAACCGTGACGCGTCAACGCCGCGCGCATGCGCGTGTTTGTGTGTCATCAAAGGGGGTGAGCGCCGCGTGTCGTCTACGGACGCTTCGAATCGGCACGAGGACGGCGACCAGCGAGGAAAGACGGTGGACAGCAGTCTTGGTAGAAGTTCGCGTGTGGGACGTTTGTGCGCGCGGAACGTTTCTCTCTTACCACCGCTGACTGTTGTCGCCGCTGCGGAGTGCCGTGGACGTTGTGCAAGTTCAGCGGACGATCTTCTCGCCCTGTGGTACTTTATCCGGCGCTGGGAGAGCGGTGCGGCGTAAGGCCACGCCGTGTGTGCGTGCGCTCGAGTGGTCTGCCCCAAACTGTTCGCCTCGGGTGTTAAACCGTGCCGTATTCCATTTGCAGTCATTTTCTTCCCTTACACCTGTGAAAACTGGGCTTGCCCGCCTTCAATGAGTGTGTCGCTTGTCTCCGCGTTGTGTGCCCTTGATGGTGTTTTGCTGTGTGTGTACATTTAGCTCCTCGATGTGTATGCGTTAATGATTATTATTATTACGCGTCCGACGATGCTCTTGTAAAGAAAGAAAGAGAGCAAGGGAAACAAACCGAGAAGGGCATTTTAGCGACTGTTCCCCAAGCCGTTATTTATATGTTGTCGTGCGTGCTCTCCGGCACAAATAGCGCCAGAGTCCCCGAAGTTGCGCCCGCCTATCTCTCGGCGTGAGCATCTATCTCTCTGTACTATCGCGTAAGCGCCTGTTGATGTTCCCGCGCGGATAATCCGCCGTCGCTGTCTCTACAAGGTGTGTAGTTGTTGCTTATAAACTCTCTCTGTCTAACGAAATGTCCAAACCGCCGCTTTTACACACCTACAAGTGCCACTCATGTTTGCCCTTGTGGACAGGCCAAGGGGTAAGAAGTTTTTGCCCCGCTTGCCTGTAACGAAAACAGACGAAACGCCTCGTGTATTTCCCTGCGTGTGCACCCGATACTTTGTTGAAACGAATACTTGAGAGTCCAACCGCGTACTCTATGAGACACGACACCGTGTAACTAGCCTGGCCCCGCATGAATTCGCTGACCAGTCACCGATAATTACGTGTGCCTGGTTTGTTTACATTTCACCCGTGTTTCTGTTTTTCTTTCTCTTAATTATCTTTTTCTTCTTGGCTACAAGCTTCGAAAGCACGCAACGCTGTTTTTTTTTTCTGTCCTTCTTTTGTGTCATACATGCTTCCCGGGTCTTGCACGAAAGATGAGGTGCGCGAACTCTCGCTGCGCCGTAAACTGAGCAAGCACGTGTTATGGTGATCGTTATGCTTATCGCCCTTTGAAGCCTCCAGGTGGCGCCCCGCGTCGCTGGGAAAAACCAGTTGTCGCGGTAGTTGCAGCGACAGCTTCTCTTCTAAGTCCCCTGTTGTAGAACAGTTTTGACGGTGTGTCTGTGTGTGTGAATGTGTCAGTCCATCTGAGGCAAAGAAATGCAACAAGCTGAACCGAGTTCAGAGTGATCATGATCGATGAAATCTTTTCTCTTTCTTTGTCTCTGCGAGTGGGTCAAACGTTCTTCGCGATGTAGCTTCATACTTTGTCTGCGACTCAACTTCGCTCTCACATCTCTCTCTTTTTTTTTTCGGCTTGATTTATCCTTCCACAAGCGCGTTAGCCGAGGTGCCATAGGCGTCGCCCAAGTCATGTAGTGTCGATGTCGCTTCACACCTGCCAAAAAAAAAAAAAAGTTTGCGTCAAATGCGAAATTCTGTACGCTTATCGTTTCTTTTCCTTGTGTTTCCTTGCTTTCTTTGAGAGCGATTTGTTGCGTTTAATTTTATATACCGTTTATCGAAAAAACGTACACTAGATGTGTGCTTCGGTATCTAATCCCTCGCCACTTCTCTGTTCTTGTCGCGCGGACGTTCTGAAAGGCATTTATTTGTGTAAAGTCCAACGCGTGTCGATTGGCGTCGTTGTCAAATCACTTCAATTTTGCGATGAATCACGTACGCCCCGAAACATTTAATTTGACGCAAACATGGAACTGCACGTGCGAGTAATCGGCAGTTCCATTTGTTCGATTTAAGTCCGCTTTCGGGACTATCATGCTTGGGAGTTAAGTGGAAGAGTTTGTTAGTATTTTTCCAGAGGAAGCAATGTTCAACATGCAGAACAATTCGTCTTGTCATTATTTTCTTTTAAATTTCTTCGCACATTCTTGCCTTAGCTAGCGTTGCTTGCGTGTGCCATTGACAATGCTGCGCCTGCTTATAGCTTCAAAACATATAAAGCCAGAAAGTTAAAAAAACAAACAAAAAGACGGATAATGTTGGACGTTTCTCGCGCATCTGTCGACATTTCAGTACTCTGAATTCAACTGCCTTTGGCACACAGCTCTGCTGTCGTAGCTTGTTTATTTAAATTTTTTTCCCCAATTCCTCGGCCCACGTGTAGTCTACGAAAAGAGAAAGAAAAAAAAAAGGCTACGTTGTCCGTGACTATGTTTGCAGCGCGGTGTTCCGTTGTTCAAACTCGAGATGGTTTTTGCACCGCGACCTTCGAGCTCCATTCCATGCTTTGTTTGTCTCGGCGATGCTTTATATAATACGGCCGCTTCTGTGGAAGAGCCGCCCAAAGAAACAGAGGGCACGTGTGCTGCCGTCACCTTTTCCCATATTGTCTTCATATCTTGAGACGCAATAGGTACGGGCGAAGAATAGTGATTATATGCTAAAAAATATGTACTGGTTGCTGCCGCTACCTGCCCACGTTGTTCGTCCTTTCGGACCCTTGTTCACGTGCCTATACAGGGACAGTTTCTGGGAAAGCACTTGATTCAGTATTTCCTTCAATTTACTTCCCCCCCTTGCAGCTGTATTTCGCTATGGCGTTTGTACTCGCGTGTGTTTGGGTGTTTCCCTGCCGTGTAACACTGGTGCCACCACGAACGTCCGTACCGCGCGCAAAATCGAGCACGCCTTTTCCTGACATTCTTCGGCTATCTGTTTGTCTTTCTGTCGTATTGTGACGATTGCAGAATGCATTACCGGGAGAGACAGATAAATTAAAAGTGACTGTTGTTGAAAACAGCCTTGCAGTCGATTTCTCGAATTTTTCGAAGTTTTTTTTTTTTTTTTGCTCTGCTGTTAAAGAGGTAAACTAGAAAGAAAAGCTTTTCCGCGTCTAAAAAATCAGCGTGTTAAGAAAATAACGCCGTATGAAAGTTACTATTTGAAGGAATGTGACAGTTGGTGGACTGTGCGCTATCTTTCTCTGGAATTCTCTGCTGGGCTGTGTGCAGAATGACTTTGAGGCGTGTTTCAAGTAGATTCTGGTGACGTGCATGTGACATCATCGCCCGCTGATAGCACAGGCGAGGACCGTTGTAATCAGAATAATGGAATCCGATGAAGAAATACAGATTCGACAATAGAAACATACCGACCGTCCTCACTGCCCAGATTGCACGTCTTATAGGGAGGAACGCTAGAAAACCTCACGTACTGCATTGCTATTCAATGCCTCACGGCTTTCACGCTTGATGAGAATTTTCGGTTTGCTCTCAATGTTTAATCTGCTGTGACAGAACGAACCTCTTTAGGCCTTGTCGGCTGCCCAACTCTGGCGCAGCATAGAAGGATTCACCGCCTTCCAATTTATGTCGATCTATGGAATTTCTACGATGTTGAAGCGCTCGTGATCGTCAGCGATTGTCCACTGCTCAATCTACCACCAACAACATGCCTCAAACTTTGTGCAGGACTGCCATTAGGCTCTTATAAGCCTGCGTTCCCATTGCGAATGTCATCGATTGATAACGCAGAAGCTGTGGCAGTGGCGTTATCAATCGTTACCCCTTATGCTGCGAAAAAAAAAAAAAATCGGCAATTCGCAAACTCGACTTACCAGTGTGTCTCGGGGCTGAAATTGGTCCTAACTGTCTGCTTATTTAACATAAACATTTCCGCATATAGAAATGTGCAGCCTCAATCTCAATTTGCCCTCATTCAATTCTTAAAATTTGGCATAAATGAACAGTGGACTTTGGCATACGACGATGCATCGCACTAATTGTGTGTCTGTGTGTGTACATATGTACAACATGTGTCTCCTCTCCGTGTTTCGGATCTGTTCGTGTCGGCGTGCGTCTTCAGCTTCTTCTGCGAACAGACTTTCTTTTTCACTGTCTGCTACAGACGGCCAATAGACGCAGCGAAAACTACGTGTGCTGCAGACGTGCTGCTTGCTTCTTTTTGTTTTTTTTTTGTTTTTTTGCCGGTCTTTGGAATCGCTTGCTTTGCTGGCTGTATTTTTGGATGTATTATATATGAATGTATTTTGTAAATAATGCCGTGTAAATAGGAAACATCAGAATGATTATAATATACTGTATTCACCTGGAAAAGACGATAAAATGAAAAAAAGGTGTCCAAATGAATCTCTCCGTGTGTGTGTTGTCAATTCCGCCACGCCTGAACCCGTAGCGTAGCCCCGCACCGCGGTGGTTGCTAATGGTTGGGCCGGCGAGTGACAATATCAAGAAGAAGAAACACAGCTGTGCAAGGGTGGTGTCTTGGCGAGGTTATTGTTAGAAAAAGAGCAATTTGCACACAATTATTTACGTTGGTGACCTACTTAATCATAACGCACCACATGAAACAAGTTGGCTGAGGCAATTGAATGTGAACTTGATTTAGTATTGGCGTTATTGAACGCTACGTTGGTGGCATACACGTCGTAGACGCTCTGCACTACAGACACACGATGCAGTGACCCCCCCCCCCCCCCCCCCGCCTCTGAAAAAAGGTACCGTTAGTTTCCATTACAAAAATGAAATAACGTATCTTCCTTCCGATTACGTAATGATCAAAAACTGTAGGTAATGCGTCGTTACTACAGGAACCCACAGAAACAATTGCAATTTCATAATGGTGACGTTTTGCACAGAGATAATAGGCAAACAAATAAGGTTTTATTGAATTTACTACAAAGACTGATTTAACGAGGAAATTATGCATTGAAAGTTAGGTGTTTGAATATGATATCCTGAAGTTGAAAAATGTAGAATTACTTCCACATCACCACATCGAAGTCACTACATCGAGGTGAAATTAAACTCGAACCGAGACTTAATCATCAGTCGCCAAATCTACAATGAACACTTTGGTGTGTACTAAAATGTAAATTCTAAAAAAATATTTTCCTTAATCTGCTTCTTCTACTGAAAGAACTGCACGGACCTTTTAACATATAATGAAGTGGCCACATGTATTGTTAACGCACTTTGCATTCATGAGCAGTATTTTATAACCATCCTATTAGCTATGGAGAGTACCCCGGTAAGCAGCACTTCGCCGATGACCTTGCATTGCTGAGTAACTCGAGGGGTGAATTGCAATTCATGATTGCTGAATCAGACAAGGAGAGCGGAAAGGTATGTCTTAAAATTAATCTGCAGAGAATGAAAGTATTGTACAAGAACTTCGGAAGAGAGCAGCGCTTCGAGATAAGTAGCGTGCGCTTGAAGTTGTTAAAGAGAATGCCTTCTTAGGACAGGTATTAACCGCGGAGCCGAACCACGAGATTGAAGTAACTAGAAGAATAAGATTGGGGCTGAGCACATTGAGGAAGCAGTTTCAAACCATGAATGGTAGATTGCCAATATCCCCCAGGAGGAAGGTATGTAACTGCTGCATCTTACCGGTACTTACCCACGGTGCAGAAACCTGGAGGATTACGAAGAGGGTTCAACTCAAGTGAAGGATGACGCAGCGAGAAAGGGAAATGATAGGTTTAGCCCTATAAGGGGCAAGAAGAGAGAAGAGCGTATCAGGAGACAAACGGTTGTTAAGGGCATCATAGTTGAAATAAAGAAGTGGGCATGGCACGTAGCGCGAGGGTAAGGTAACCGCTGTTGCGAAGCCACCTCCGAAATCCCACCGCTGACCTCCACTGTTGCGAACGACGGACCGATCCCGCCGAAGCCACCACTGTTGCGAAAGACGGCGACGCCAACACGGCCCCGGAGGCGCCACTGCTTTCAACTCCGCCGGGAAGGTCACCAGCCGTTTGGTAGCGTATGTTTATCAGCTCGCGACTGCTTCTGCGCAGAGCTGATAAGACGAGCGGACGAGACGACGGTGAGTTAAACAAGGTTTATGTACAGCATATTTACAGAGGCGTTACAATTTCGGCACTGGGGCCGACAGAGACTCGAAGAGCCGAGCTCTCTTCTCTAACACATAGGTCAGCCTTTCGCCTACGACCGCTGACTCACACACATGTCGGCTTTCCGACACGGGGACTCCTCTCCTAGGACCTCCGATCGCGACGCGCCGCAGGGCTTCTTTTATTTACACCGGGTCCAACTAAAATGTTCAATCAGAAGCGCCGCTGGTCGTCCGGGCAGATTCCGCCAATGGCGCCGCCGCGCCATGCGTCAGACCACCTGACACGAGGACGCCGGCTCGCTGTCACGTGCGCAACTGACTCACTGCACGTGGGCCAGAGGAGCGCCGCGCGTGTTCACGCCGTCGAGGTGATCGCGCCAGGCAGACTGCGGGCTGGCCTTGACCCAGATTGCCTTTTTCAGAGGCACGGTCGTTTGACGGGGACTCGCTGGCATAACAGCACCCCCGCCGCCAGACAATGCACCGGAAAGACGAGCTGCTTCCACGGGGCTCGGATGTCAGGTGCGCTCGTTCGCCAGGTCCCTCCAGGTTCGCCTCCAGGGCCATGGGGAGAATACAGCTCCAGACTGTTCCGGGAACACATCCCATTTTGACGACGGATCCCAGCTCCACGGGCTTGTCGCCACAACTTGCTGGCCAACTTCGCTCGTCTCTTCCGACCATCTTCGGTTTCAGCACTTGTCGATGGTTCTGCAACTTGCTAAGAACGGTTCGACAACAGACAACACACGACACAAGCAAGTGCCCTCGGTCACCCAACAGAACACCAGACAAAGTATAGAACAACATATACCTATCTACGTGTCTATCGGAATTTCGTTCCCTCTACATCAAGAGGCACATGTGGGACACAAGACTCTTAAAATGACAACTCAATTTTTTTTCCCACGTACAACAACGTAACGAATTAGAATACCACAAAGTTGGCCCCTTGAGATCACTCTGAACGAGAGCGCTCAGCCCAGGTCGTGATGAGGTCAAAATTTTGCCCCGAATCGCCAGCGAGAAACCGAAAGGCTGAGAAGTTACAAGCTGGAACGCACTGCTCAATGCACCTGCATTAGCGTTTACCTTTCCCTTTGTTTTTTTTTTTCTTTAGCGAACGTCAAAGTTGCGCTGTGGAGCAACATGCTCCACCTCAGTAACCGGCCACTTTTAGGCGACGATACCTATGCGGCACCAAGAGCGGCTCACACTTGCGACGTTGCACAGGGGAACAACGATACGGCTTGCTACTGATTGACTCCTCACCGCTTAGCTCGATATCGTGTTCGATCACCCTCATGTTTCCGGGGCGGTCCGAAAACACGTCTTCAAACTCGGAACCAATCTTTCTCAGGTCCTCTTTCTCAGGTCCTCCTTCACTTAAGCTAGGCTCTAGGTTTATCTGCTCCCAAATTACTTTCGATCCCCCTTCGATCACCTCACTAGAACTCAAATTTTCTGCTCCCTCTTCCTCTGAAGCCTTCAACAGCTGATTTACGACCGCTTGATGTTGAACATTGGGTTTCATCAAGTTGTAAATTTTGTTCTGCCGCCTTCCTACTTGCACCTCATAAGTTGTATCGCAAGGCTTCGATAATACTGTGGCGGGCCCTTCCCAATCAACCTCAAGCTTGTTCCTTTTGGGTGGCTGCCGCCGCATTACCTGATTATCAACTTCAAAAGCGCGCTTCTTCCCCGATTTCTCGTAGTGCTCCTTCGACAGCACTTTTGCCGCGTTTTTCTGGCTTTCCACTAGCGCTTCAATCGAGAGATCCTCACTCTGCCCTCGAATGAGCGTCTCTCGATCAACTCTCGGCAGCTCGCTCCAACTTTCCGCTACAGGCGAGAGCGTTGCAACCCTCTCGCTCTGACTCAATGGCGCCACGTCGTCTCCCCCAGCGCATCCCGCGCCGGCCGCTCCCGCGACGGGCCGCTCGCGTGACTGCTCACATGACTCATGCGGAAAATTTCCTTTCTGGGGTTCCGTCGACCCGCCGACAAGGTCACTTGAGAGTTCACCGCATGGAACCAAGTCAAGCTTCCGCGAAAGCTTTCGCGCTTGCGATCGCGTGGGAGCCATGCACGCTAAGTTGGGGAAGAACGATTTGCCCTGCTCTTTGAGAAGCTGCTCCGAGTTGTTGGAGAAAAGATAAGAAAAACGACCATTCAGCGCGGCAGACACAGCCGCTTCGGTGCAAAGCTTACCGAACGGGCCTTCAATGACAACGGTGGCGATTGGTAAGCGAACACTCTGCTCCTCGGCGACCTGCCTGATCCACGCGCATTCTCCTGTGAAGTCATCCGGAGACACCAATGAAGGATGGACAACGTCCATGGTTGCCGCTGAGTCTCTAAGTGCTCGGCACGTTTTCTCATTGACCCTAATTTCTTGGAGATACGGCTCCAACAACCGCATGTTTTTTTCTGATTCTCGGATCGTTGCGAAGGCAAACTTTTCCTGACAGTTTCTCGCGATGTGCCCTTCCTTTTTACAGTCGTAGCAGATTAGCGGCTTCCGTTTGTTTTCCGGTTCTAATGCCTGTGTGGTAGAAACCTCACTCGATTTCTCCGCTTCTGTTTGCCCCTCCCCTACACTGTCCTTCGTAAGAGACGGGTCCTTCTTGAAATTACGGTGCGGAGCGGGTTTCCGTTGATCAGGTTTCCTTGAAAAGCCCTCTTTCCTTTCATCCTTTTCAACGCGCGCTGCCCTGCTATGCAACTTTCGGCGAGTATAATACTCCTCAGCTAACTCAGCTGCCTTGTTTAACTGTACGTCCCCAAGTCTGTCCTGCAGCCAAAGTTTGACATCCTCCTCGATGCAGCGGTAGAATTGCTCCAATGCAACGCATTCCACCACTTTATCGCGGTCGTCATAAACACCTTCGCCCTTGAGCCATTCAATTAAATCGGCTTTAAGACGAAACGCGAAGTCAACGTGTGACTCATTCCCCTTTTCAGCATTCCGGAACCTTTGCCTGAAAGCCTCGGGTGACAACTTATAACGTCTCAAGAGCACTTCCTTAACCTCGTCATAGCTCTCAAACGCTTCCCTCGACAAGCAAGTTATCGCGTCGGACACTTCGCCGGGAAGAAGAGCTAGCAGGTTCCGCGCCCAAAGAGACCGCTCCAAAGCGTTTCGCTCACAGACGTGTTCGAACTTGACGAGATACTTCGCCATGTCCTCGCCTACTACGAACGGTGGCAGTTGGTCCCGAATTCTAAAACCGCTGACCTGAATCGTCGGAGAAGCTACGCTAGGCGC